ATTTTTTGAAAGTATGATTGAGTATCATCAGCAAACTTTACCTCATTCGCATGTGTAGATGACCCACGAAATGCAGGAAATCGCGATTCACAGTCACCGAGTCGAGGCAGACCACAGTCTGGAGTTTGTGTTGCTTCCTCTCGAGACTCTTTTCGAGAAGGAGGATCTTCCTAAATGAGGAAAAGTGAGTGAAACTCCATAACTAGACAGGCGCAGGGCGTTCACAAGCAAAAACAAACCGGAATTTTCTCCTCCTTGACTCTGTCAGGTTTTGCATCCAATCGGCTGTCATATTTGAACAGTTCGCTGCTGCGCTGTTGAACTTGTTCTTGCTATAAGTGGCGATAACAAGGAAAAACTGACTAAAATAGATTAAGCAATGTTACCTTTCTTTGGAAATGAATTCTTTTTAAGCATGGAGATCGAGGAGTATCCGGTTGTTTTCGTTCTTCAACTTTTTGTATAGCAGTGGTTTTCTCGTTATGATGATCCTAGAGGAAGAGCTAGATCACTTACAAATCATCAGAAGTAGATTACTCACCTCTTTAGTGAGGGTTTCTTCGTTCTGCTGTCGCAAAGTTTCAGAACGGAAGGAACATCGAGATAGCGGCCGGCGAATAAGCTCAGGTTCTTCATCGGAATCAGAGAACGACAAAATCTAAAGCAATGATAAAAGGAACAATTCTTTGCGATAAAATTTGAGAAACTCACTCCATCATTCTCATGAATTACATCCAAAAACCTAGGAGGCCGATCATTAGAGGTACCATCATGCAAACTGCTTAGTGATGGCGAGTTTTCTAAAATTTCTATTCTCGTAAAAACTGAAGTCTCTAAATCGCAAAAAATTTAGGGGGGGGGGAAGGTATTTACCTCCCTCCACTTCTTCGATTATAGGCGTTTTCTGCGATCCTTCGTCATCAGAGCATGTTGCCACCGGACTGCAGAGGTGATTTGCATTGTAGTCAACCTCAAGCAAGGATCATATAAAACAGTTAAATCCTACCAAAAATCTTTTTAAAAATCTTGGTAAACTTCTGGTATTGATACCGTAAACCTACCGGATTCAAGATTGAAAACACATTGTCAGTATTGAAGCCGGGTGGCATTACATCGACTGCATTCAGGATCAAGAATTCTACCAGTAGTGGGATTTTTTTGCCACCTTCCATCGGATCCGATGAGCTCTCTGAAAATTTGGAAAATTAGGCCCTTGTATCCACCAATCGGCTCAGACCCTGATTACGCTTGTCCCGACCTAGTTTCAATTCAGATGATTATTGTTTACGGGTGCATGCGCACGAAAATGAAATCACACACGATAATGAGGTCGTTATCACGACAACGGTGATAAACACCGCTATGGTTATGGTCCGCGATGTGACAGCAAAGATTGGCAGATT